CCCCCCCCCCCCCTCAAAAGTCTTAACTAACTGCATTTCTTTTTGCATTTTGTGAGCTACAGTTTGGATGGAAGGGGAGGGGATCTGAGGAACGACCAAAACTTCCACAAGCAGAAAAGTGAACACCATACATAGTCAACAGGTCTTTTTTTTTTTTCTTTTTTTTTTTCCCCTTTTGAACCACCACTACCTTTCCCGCTGATGGGAAAACGAGAAAATATCCTAGTGCTACAAAATCAGAGGCCGGGCCCGACGACGGCTGCTGTGGATAAATCTCATCGGCGGCCGTCATTTTGTTTCGGCCTCCTAGAGATTCGGGGGCCCGACGGCGGCCCACATGGGAAAAGGTAGTGGTGGTTTAAGCTGAAAAATTTAGAGCTGTCACAATTCTACAATTCTACCATCGGGCATAGCTCAATTGGCACACCCATAAACTGTTGAAATGCAGACGCGAGTTCGAACCCAGATGATGGAACCAAATGAACTTCAAATTTTAAATGCCTGAATTACCTAGGGGCCGGTCTGATATCTCAAGGCTGTCGCCCTTTTTTCAAAAAAATCTAAGAGAAAGAGAAGTCGCAATTCCTTCATGACAGGGGAAGAGGGGAAGACAAGAAAAGAACGATTTGATAATAGCCGCCAGCAATCAACAATTACTATGCACTGTATGCAGTCACCCCTAGCAGTTACAGTGCAGTAACTCTCAAGTGGGCAGAATTCCAGCTGCAGTTAACTCCAGGTAGAGTAAGTGCAGTTACCATTGTTTCCCAAAGTCTTCAACTTTCCAGGTACCCATTAACTCCAGTCACCGTTAACTCCACCGTTAACTCTCCACTCGCTGTTACTCCAGTGATCTTTATCGTACTCGAGTTCTGTATGTGTCCTCGATCCAAGGATGGAGAGCCTATCACCCTCACATCCCCATACCGGAACTACCATCTTCACCCGAATAGAACGCCCGGTCATTATAACTGTATTTGGCCCAACTTCCAGTCGAAATACACCGATAATGACCGGGCGTTCTATTCGGGTGAAGACGGTACCCCTGGACCCGAAGGAATGGGTATGGAAGACCAGCAAGAAAGGGAAACCAAGGTCTCTGCACTGAGGCTGCAGTCGCTCTCTGTGAAGGCGGTGCATCGGTTACGCCGGCCAAAGGTGGATGTCTCAAGACTCTCAACGATTTTGCATGACCGATGGCAAGTTAACTGTAGTTTCCGATAACTCTAGACCCATTAACTACAGTTACAGTCAAGTCCCCGTTAATTACTGTTACCATGAACTGCAGTTACAGTTACAGTCAGATTCAGTCCCCGTTAACTACTGTTGCCATGAACTGCAGTTACTTTTTGACTTCAGGTACCATTAATTCCAGTCACTGTCAAATCCACCCACAGTAAACCGCACTTACTGTTAGCTTCGGTTACGGTTGACTCCAGTTACCGTTAACTCCAGTTACCGTTAACTCCAGTTACCGTTAACTCCAGTTACCGTTAACTCTAGTTCAACTTCTGTAACAACCAAACAGTTATTATTCATGTTTCAGATGTGCCCCATCATTCTGTTCCCGAACTGATCCTCGATCTACCTGGTCCTGGTCCCCAATGGTCCTGGTCCCAAACGGTTGTGGTTCCAAATGGTCCTGATACAAAAAAATGGTCCTCTCCTGGTCCAAACAGTCTTTGTCCCAAATGGTCCCGGTCTGATTCCAAATGGTCCTGGTCCATGGTGGTCTCAGGATCACATGGTCCTGGTCTTGTGCGGCGCACAGACAATTTAGCTAGCCGATCCATGGACGCACCTTCGACCTGATTCTATGATCGGAGTTTCTACTTCACCATCCATACGGGCAGAGCCCACCGTGCTATGTCGATGCCTGGAAAGCACGAACCTGGCCGGAACAACAGCCAGGCTCTTGCTTTCCTGGCATGCATATATAGCACCCATAGGGCCTGGCCCTTAAACCACAAGTACACGCACGGGTGGTGGCACCGAACTGCACACCAAGCTTTGCCAAACCACCAGTGGTGCACTTTTTCTTTTTTGGGCCCCGCCGCCAGCCATTATTGTGGTCCAATAAACCCAGTCAGTACTATTACCAGCCTTGGACTTCCTCAGTGCACGCACGGATTCGAACCCGCATCCTCATCCTTAATCGCCGAGTATCGTAACCACAACAGCCATGGCACGGTATTCAAAAGTGGTACCATACCTGTCGGGATATCCACCCCACCCCCTCTGCATGGCTGGAGTGTCCTTACCGTACTCCACACGTGCCACACACTAGTTTCATCAAGCACATGACTAAATCTACGAGGGCACCCCGAGTCACAGCCGAACCGTCCCTCCTCAGGAAAATCAGAGTGGTGGGGGACCACGACTACAGAACCTACCAGCCAGGAACACCCCTGCAGGATCTGGAGTTTGACCCGGCTGAGTGGGAATGAAAAACAAGATCCACGCCAACGGGGGGACAGAAACGCACCAACATCCTAGACTACTCGACCAGCTTCGGCTATAAACTCAGACGAAGACCCGTCAACACAGAGCTCATCAAGTCCCAGCGATGGGAGAAACACATCCCGGGCTGCCTGGGCAACACGGAGAAGATCGACTGGCAGGTCCCCCTCGCCATTAGAAACACCCCCATAAGAAGCATGCCATGGCTCATCCGTGTTGCCAGTCAACACATGGCTTAGCAAGCCTTGCCGAGGCAAGGCTTGCTTCTTACGCGGGGGTTTCTAATGGCTTAGCAAGCCTTGTCGTATGACCAGGCTTGCCGGTCAAAGTCTCATCGACTACCAGGCTTTGCCAGTCAACACATGGCCTGGCTTAGCAAGAGAAGGTCAGAAATGCCAGAAGAGACTTGGACAACAGCTGCGCAGTCTGCGATGATGGATCCCTCGAGGATATACCACACTGTCTAATACACTGCCCACATGCACAAAGGATTTGGAGCAGAACGAGGGCGTACTGGTCGGCGATTGCCAGCACATCACTGCCAGATAACCTGCTGACACTCCTGACGGGTCCGGCGCAGCCCCGTTTCCGAGAAGCCTGGCAGTCAACCCTCGTCAGAAGACTCCGCCCCTTTACGTTGTGGATCACATGGAAGACAAGATGCAAACAAGCAAACGATAGCCAGGCAACATACAACAACCCGGGAGGCCTGGGAGCACGTATTACGACTCCCACGCACGGAATACCATGCGGATTGGCACCGCGCAACCAAGAATATCAAAGAAGACCCCACAAAAAAAAGCAAATAATCATAGACAAATTCATCAAGGACAGGCTCGGAATGGGCGAAATCGGCACTGTACAAGGTGATCCCCCGAGACGGACATGGAAGCGGCGCGAAGAACAGCAAGGGAGAGACCGTACAATAGACTTCGTCTCGTTAGAAACAGCGCGATCACAGAACAGCATGGCGGACATAAACTCAGCATAGAAGGTACAGAAGAGTCAGAGTTTAAGAAAGTAGGGATTCGGTCTCCAGGACTCAGGGGACAGTAGGGTTTAGGGTTTAGGGTTTAAGGAGAGCGGTAGCTTATGTGCCTCAGGACTCAGCTGCCTTCCTCAATGGCAAGAAGATGCCCCACGTAGTCGAAGCTAAAGTCCCTTTCTTTTGGCAATTTGCAGCAGTGTTTGTCCAGTTTCTATTTTCTCTTTCTTTTGCGAATTGCAGCATTGTTAGGCCAGGATAAGTAGGCTGGGAGTTTGAAGCAGGGGACACTGGATTACTCCGGGTTACAGTGTGGAGGGATTCCAGGCCTCCTTTTGCTCTTATAATAAAGTAAAGTGTTGCTTATTAAAAAAAAAACAAAAAAACACGAGGGTACACAGCCCCCGCCACAATATCCACAGCTCCCACAAAAGGGGCGCGACCCCCAATGACCCAAGCCTCTGAAATTTTAGGAGTGAACCATGAAGAAATATTGCAAGGATGGGCTCATGTAGGAAAAAGTAGGGAGAGAGAGAGGGAGAGAGAGGGAGAGAGGAAGATGGAGAAGGAGACAGAGGAGCAGCAGAAGGTGGGAAAAAGTAACTCACATTGGAAGAAGATGATGACAAAGCGGCTGCTGTCATACTCGAATGGAAAGAAGAAGACCGTAACAACTGAGCCCAGGGTCTTTGGCGCCATAGCTCACCTACCACACTGAGTCACATGATCATCACAGCGGTGCGTTGACTTTCCGAGGGATTTTGCCCATCATTTAATTGAAAAAAAAAAAAAAAAAGATATGGATAACTGGGGGAGAAATTGTTAAATAGCCCTTCCTGGCCCATATGGCTGAATGGTACACAGTTTATAAAAAAAAAGGTTCTCCATGCACACCCTTAGCATAAGCATCGCATCAATAGCGCAAAGGGGCTTCATCCCAACTCTTTAGGCATTTCAACTTTCAAGACACACTTGTTTGCACAGGCCATTTGGATGGGATAGCTGACAAAGGGAGGGCTCAGGGCTGGTTAAAAAGAGAGAGGGGGGGGCGGGGGTGGGAATAGGGCTGGTTCACCTGCATGTAGACTGGGTGGGGTGGAAAGGGGAGGTGCACTGGTGCAGTGGTGCAGCAACTGGCCACAGCCGGACACGCCTGTCCATCCCGACATCAGCGTCGTGGGCTGATACAGCTTCGCTTCCGCACCAACACTGTGGACGCTCGAAGAGCAGACGCGACGCGAAGCGTCTGCACTTCGTGTCCAGCATGTCTTGATGCACTTCATGACTGGAGCTGTGATGCAAGCCCCCTGGCGCCTTCCACCGAAGAGCTAAGTAAGGTTTCCTGACGACTCTTTGGTAGAATGGATGGGACTAATTGGGTTGTTCCGGAGATTCTGACTTTCCATCCATAAACTTCACTTTATTTAACTTGACAAAAAGAATTTGGGTAGTTCCGGAGATTCTGACTTTTTTTCTTTTTTTTTTTTAACAACCCGTTCAATTTTATTGCAAAATCAGAAACAATCGAGGCCGGGGACCTCACAATTCAAACTGGAGATTCTGACTTATCATAAGCTTCACTTTATTTAATTTGAGTCTTATTTGACAAAGAATTCCCGCTTCCAGGAAGCCGCCGTTAGGCGCAATCACCAAAAAACCATTGACGCACTTTGTGATTAATTATGATACTTTTTTCTCGACAACCAGCAAAGCTGTTTTTATTTGAGTAATTACACCGATTCTTCGACCGATTTTCATCCACTTGTAACTTGGTGTACTAATTTGTAATTCTTTGTTCTAATAAAGTAGATTGTTCCGCTCCAGCAAATTTGTTCATAAATTTCATGCTCACCCGGGCTTACATTTTATTTTTTTTTTAGTTCTATGAACTTCTATCCATCTCCCATGGTCTATCTCTCATGGTCTAGGTTAGGGAGAGGTAAAGGTTGGTGGGGTGTTCCTCGTCATGTACATACAATACGGAGATGAAGAGAGGAGAAAATGAAGACGGGACGTGACAAAAGAGATGGAATACCATATTCAAAACCAAAAAAAAAAAAAAAAAAAAAAAAAAAAAAAAAAAAAAAAAAAAAAAAAAAAAAAAAAAAAAAAAACATGGAATTGATAACTTGATAACTTAATAAAATTTTATTAATTTGATTATTTCAATTTATTTCCAATTTATTTCACTTTATTTGTATATTCAACAAAATTTGGCTAACTTTCTGCTAGAATTGTTATTGTCAAGACTTGCAAGTTGCAACGTACACTTTGGTGACAACTTACAGCCACTTGCCTAGTAAATGGGTATTTATTATTTACATGCTTTCGAATTGGGAGGGGTTTGGACAGGGGGGGAAGAAGAGG